ACTTGTATGTCCTGTTTATTATACATTTTAAAGTGGTACTTTATCAAAGGAAATTACATAATATATCCATTAATAAGGTATGGGACAAAAGTAGAGGAAGCAAAATGTATTTTCTGTATTCTTCTGTTCATTCTCTGTGTTCAAGTTTGGCTTTCTTATAGAGCCAGCTGTGGTGGGTTTATATGAAAAATCCAGAATTATGTGAACTGTAACCTGTTGCAAAGCTCTCCTCTCCATTTGGTGCTGTATAAAATGTCCTATGTAAATATGATTTGTCTTAATTTATAGACACAGCATACTTATCCAGACGGTCACATTCTTCTTGTTTTGAAATTCCTAAATTTAAACACCTCATCAAAATATGGTTCTGAAGCCCTTGCTGCAGTGTGGGTGGAATGATCCATTAGCTTGCAGCCTTGTTATGACAACCATCATGTCAAATGGATTTGCTGAACTGTTTTCTGTTGCCAAATTCCAAGTTTGAATTTAAGTCTGTTTAATCAGAAGATATATTTAGCATTAAAAATGATCTTTAATTGTTTAAACACAGGGATTCTTGAACATTGCAATTGCTGAGGTCTCAGGACAAGTGGCAACAAGCTTTGAAAACAAGGTGGACTGTAAAAATGAAAACAATGCCCTTTTAAAAAAAAATTGGAACGTTCCAGTACTTATCTGGTGTTTGTGCAGTGCTTATCTTATTTGTACTTAATCAAATAATGGAATTTTACATTGCTGTTGCATGCTTACTATTTGGCGGGGTCATAAAAACTTTTCTACACAACTGTCAGAACTAAATATATCCCATTTGTCAGTATGATTCATATATAATATCTGGGTATTTAAGGAGGATTGTCTGCTGTCTGTACTGTTTTCATAGGACGTAATGAAGCTGGTACATAGATACTTTCAGCACTGATGTGTACTTAGTGTAAAGAAAGAACACTTGGAACTCTGAGTGCTTTTGAAGGAATAAAACAATGTAGGAAAAATAATGGGGTAACAATGGCCAGTCTTCAGCGGATGGCCTTTGCTTTCTGAGAATTTCTTTTTTGAGAAGATTAAGGTCAGCCCAACACAAAGTTATTCTGCTTATGCGGGTGTGTTGGACATGCATGCTAGAGAGCAGCATAAATACATGTTGTTTAAAACACAGCACTGCAGATTGTAAAGTGCCATTACGATTAAAATAAAACAAAAGGCCCAAATTACAATTTCTCTAAAAAAGTTAAATGTTCCATTTTAGATGTGTCTGATTCGGCTACACTTTCCTGAGCGAGATCCAGTCACAGCAGTTCCTTTTCAATGTTAAAGGCTTATTTCATCAAGCAGAGGCTTTTTGGTATTCTGGCAGCAATACAAGTCTTACAAATCTAAATAGAGAGTATGACTTTTACTATTTTTATACCCTTTAAAAATATTGCAAAGGGAAACCCTGAGATACTAATTTTCCATTTAAAATGATTTTGTTTTGAGAGGATATTAGTTTACCAAAATCAGCTTTTTGCCCAGTTATTTTTTGGCTACCTTTGTAGCACCTTTTTACAACCATCACATACATTTTAAACAACTTCATTTTGACGTGCTCTAGGAATCAGCAGGGCTTTTGTCTCAACAGGCTATGCGTGCAAATGGTACATGTCTTTCCTTCCATGCCATTTTTAGCATTCCAAATGTGTTGTTGCATGACTACATTTGACAGACGTGTAGAAAGACTTGTACAAGATGCTGATGTGGCAGGAATTTTATTAGCTTTTTCTGCAGTCATGCATTTCTGGATAGGAGACTCTAGTGTTACTGCATCAAAAGGGGATGGTTATGTTTTTAAATGTCCACAGAGAAATGTTCAAGTCTTAACAAATATATATTGGGTTTATCAATGCATAGTTGCTTCATAACATGGATATTAAAGCATAAAAACTCTAAATAAGAAATAGTTTTTATAACTAATCACATAATTTCTTGGTTATTTGAATCAGGGGAATTGTTTAATGATGAGATTTATGAGTTGCAGGACAAATGACCTTTTCTTATCGATAACTGTACTTCTGTAGGAGTCTGGAGCACTTAATTCAGCCATGCTTCTTAACCTGATACCCTGAGTTCCTTCAGAAAATGGTTGCGATCCTGGGATCATTTTACATATTCACAGACCTGCAAATCATCATGAATAAAGGAACAACCTCTTTTTTATGAGGACAATGTCTTCTTTTCCCCCTTTTGTTAGGATATATTCTTCTAGTTCAGTTTTGAGAACCTGAAACTGTAATTTACCCGTGTCCCACAGATTTGAAGTATTTGTCCTGTCCAGATTTAAGATTTTGTAAAAGCTCCTAGCTGTGGAGCTTTCATGAATGAACCTGTACTGACCTAAAAGCTGCCAGTTTCGGTTTCAGAGTTTTATCTTTTTTTCACCTTTTTTCCAACACAGTGTCATGCTAATGCTGTCTCCACTGAGGCTGATGGCTCCTGAAAGGGGAGGCAGAAATGGAGATTTGGCTTATTGGGAGAGGCAGTCTTCTGGGGGAATTCGTTTGCAATTATTTTTTTATATTAATGATCTGATACACCCTCTCAGGTCCCTTTAACTGTTGCCACCACTGAGAAAAACAAGGAGGCAGGAAGCTGGAGTACAACACACACACGTACTGTATATGAAAAGGAAATATTTTCTCTGTCTACAGCTGTATATCCAAGCCCGGCGCCCCGAGAATCTGACTCTCCTCATTGCCAGGGAGACATACTCCAGTCGTCCGCTGGCACTGCGGGGCGTGAACCGTGGTGCACCATACCAACAGTACCAGCCTGTGGTGATGCTGCAGCAGGCCTACGTCATGCAGTGGAAGGGCGTGTCTCCTGAAGAGGTTATTCTCTATCCGATCAACTTCGACAGGTAGCTCACCCATCTCACACCACTGTGACTGTAGCATGGCTTTCTAGTTTTTGTTCTGCACAGACCAAAAAAAAAAA